GTTTTTCTTGGTTTTCAGCCGGTTCGGTTCGAACGGTTCAGCGGTTCTGGCATGTTCACTAATAGCGGTTCAACCGGTTTAGATTAAATCGGACTAAGCAACGGTTCCTGGTTGAACCGACCGATCCGATCCGATTTTCAAAACAGAAGTGACAACCAAAGCTCATTGCACCCATATTAAAAGTTTATGGAATCATATCATGATCTCTAATTAAATCTAAAGTAAACTATTCTATGTCAACCTCTCATCTTATTAGAGATGGGCATAAGATTCAAATATGACGATTTCGACTTGGTTCGATCTAACCGGGTCGATTTTTTCAAAAAATCGAATTCAGATCAAGTTTTATTTAAAATAGGTTTGGGTTGAAGTCGAATTTAAGGTTAAAATAACCCAAATACCCTACCCTTCCATTCCCCACTTCACTCTTTACTCTTTCTTTAGTTTACTCTTTACTCGTTACTCTCCCTTCTTTCTGTGCAGAGAACTCGCGAATGGTAAGTTTGGATTTTTTTCATTTTCGTGCAAAAATATTTCACTCTTTAGAGTTTTAATTCATCAATTCATCACCCACTAAAACTCATATCTTAATTAAGAATGAAAATCAAAATCTAAAAGAGAAAAAAAAATATTTACCATAACAAAAGTATTGAGATTCTTCACTTTTACAAAGCACCGATTGTGGGAAGAAAAGTTAAATAAATGAAACTCTTGAGACAAATTAAGTTTCAAAAAAAAAAAAATAGTAACTACTTTAGGGTTTTACTCATTTTTTGTTGTTGTTAATGATTAACATAGTACAATTAGGAATAAATTAATTAAGTATGAAATATTGGAATGGGGGCGGTTACAATTAAGGATGGACATGGGACTCGAATTCGACTCGATTCGATCGGGTTTGATTTTTTTTAATAAAAAAATCGGGTTTGGGTCGGGTCAGATTTTTTAATGTGATGTTCGGGTCGGGTTTGTGTTCGGGATTAGGGTGAAAAATACCCAATCCGACCTCAAAAATATAATTTTACCTTATATATTTAGGAATAATTACAATAATACTCCTCTCTATATATATTTTTTCAATTAAGTCACTGTTTTTTATTGAATAAAAATATTTTTTTATAATTTTGGGTCGGGTCGGGTGAAAACTTGTTTTGGTTGGGTTGGGTCGGGTCTCGGGTGGAGGACTCATTGTTCTCGGGTCAGGTTAGGTGGACCAAAAACCCGACCCAACCTGACCCATGCCCATCACAATTTGTTTGTTAGATTTGTGTTTTTTAAATTTTATTTATTTTTTTCGAATAAAAATAATTAAAAAAAAATCGGGTCGGATCGAGTATCATATCTATGAATCGGGTCAAGGTCGAGGTCAGGTAAAATTTTTTACTTTTGGGTCAAGTCGGGTTTCGAGTCGAATCGGGTGGGTCGAAAATACAACCCAACCCATGCCCATCCCTATCTCTCATCCTCTCCCCCACCCACAAATGCAATTAATGCATTTTGCTATATTTTGCTATATTTTAATTTGTTGTAGTTAACAACTAATGCAATTAAACTATCTATGTACGCCCGTGCGATGGAATTCAAATTCGGGACATCAAGTGACCCAAGGCTTGATCTTACCAACTATGTTAAAATCTCATTAGATTAACGATACATTTATTAGTGTCACCAAAATGTAGCAATGGCTTATGCCCCCCACTTTCTATCTTTTTTAATGAGGGTCTTTAATTCTTTTCAATTCAGTAAAATTTTCAATTTTCTAACCTATTCTATCTTATTCATTTATTTAATTTTAAATTAAAATTTAATTATATTTTTCTTTTTTAATTCTATTTCTTTAATTTATCAAATATTCTTTAATTCTTAGTCTCTCTAATCTAACGTTAAAATAATGCATCATTTTTCATTTTTAGTTTATGGTTCAGAACCAAGTTTTATACCATATTCAGATTTAATTTTTTTAATTTATTCTCTCTTAATTAGATTTAATGTGTTTTCTTAACCAAATAATGAAAATATTGTTTGATAAGTTTAATTATTTTTCTGTATTTTGTTAATGAAATATTAAATTATTTGTTCAAAATAAGAAAATATATATTTATATTATAGTGACTTATTTTTGAATTTTGGTTCAGGGTCTGAAAATATTTTTAAATTTTTGTTCAAACTCTAAAAATTAGTATATATTTTTAATTTTTTTATGTATTTTTATTAAAAATATATTTTTGTCCCGTTGAAATTTTATAAGTTCGAGATTACCTATTGAAATTTTAAAAGTTTGAGGTTGATCGTGTAACATAAAATCATGTGTGTGTCTTGTTGGAGACAACTTCAATGAAGACTATATTGGAGTTTTGACTCTCTTTTTATCAGTTATAGAATTCTCCCCGCCTCTTCTTGTTGCACACTTGATAATAAAACAATAGTGCCTCGTGAGTTGGCAACGTCGAGTCAATGTGTTTGTCTCTTTGTGGAGACGACAATAACAATAATAAAACCCTATTCTCATATGTAATGTGATAAGAGGGAGGTAGGATAGTAGACTGTCTCTAATACCAGGTTGAGAACAGTTTTCATGGAGAGATTAGGGTTATTTCTTTAGAAACGGCAAGGGATATAGGGTGCTATTATTGCCAATGGATAAAGTCTGCCTAATCTTATGGAAAAGGGATGGCTGTTTTTACTTGCCACGTTGGGTCTCTTTGTCCGAATTTGTGTATTTCTCGTCGTTTCAGTGAGTCTTGGTTCGAGGAGGCGGCAAAGTTATTTGCGTATGGAGATTGGTATGGTAGGCGTTTGGAGTTTAAACAATTTATTTTTCATTAAGCTAAGATAATTATAAAATAGTATAAACTCTAAATATTCTCACTATTTAATAATGAACGTTTAATCAGTTTGTTGTAGGCTCTGGTGTTCGAACATGTGACCTCTAAGAATAATAACGATTCTTTTAACCATTGGGATAAGTTGTTCGTTAGTCAAACAATTTATATACCATCGATAAAGAAAATTTATAAAATTTATAATTTTATACTTACTCGATTGGATTTATATCCAACTCAATTCGAGATGATTTGAAGATTAGGAGATTAGTCAAACTAAAAAATTAATCAGTTTAATATAAACCCGAATCCACAATGATCCAATCTAGTACTTGATTTGATCAAATTTATTATAGATACAAACTAATTAAGGGTTTATTTTACCAATGCTTCAAAACCAAAAAAGAAATTAGTCGAATAGGACATGTGAAAGTTTATTTTAAGATATATGACATTTGTTATAGTGATTTGAAACTCGTCACTTCGAGATGACGCGTTTCAATAAAAAATAATTTTTATTTAAACATTTTTTATTGGAACTCATCATGTTTAGATGATAGTTCCATGAACATTATAAAAAATACCATAGATCTCAAAATAAACTTCTACTTACCCTATTTTTTAAAATAATTTACTCATCTGTCCTGTTGCACTAAAAATACTCTAATTAAGAAGATAGGTAAGCCCAAACTTCTAATAAATGAGATTATAGGAATGGAAGTTTGGAAAACATATCTTATGTTTTTATTTTTTAAAATAAAAATAAAGATGTAGTAAATAAAAAACACTACTCATACCATAAGTTTAGTGAATCTTTATGAGTTATTAACGACCCGCACGCAGTTTACAAACATAATTGTTTAAACTCAAAACTTTTAGAAATAATTTCTCTTTCATCATTAAAATCACTCGATGATTTATACAATTTAAAAATTTTACGACCCTTATATTTGTTAGTTATATAATCTATCTAGAACTACATTGATAATTAATTGATAACTTTATATATTTAGCCAAAAATAATAATAAATTTGTATATCAGACCTATTACTGCTTATAAATGATTTTGCAAGTTGAATATATATGGTGACTATGGTGCTGTTACAATGTGCAAGCTGGAATTGAAGGCAGTCATAACGTTCTTTCAATTGCAATGCACATGCACCTATGACTTCTCTTTTTTCTTTTTCTTTTTTTTTTTTGTATAATTACCGGTATTCGATTTATTGTTCAACTAATCCGAATAGAGTACTGCAGAAGTAAGTAGGAGTCTTAAAAAATACCCGACCCGGTTGATTCGACCCGCCGACCTACAATGAAAAACCAAGTATTTTTCTTAAAAAATACTCAACAGGGCCGGGTACCCGAATACCCGGTTACATTTATTTTTATATATATTATAATATTACATATTTAATTATTAATAATTTTATATGTTAAATTAAACTAATAAAAAAAAAAATCCCACACACCCAATAGTTGTATGTTTAATTATTAATATAATATTTTTTTTGACAAAATAAGTTATATTTTTTTTAAAAAAATTAATAATTTGAAAATGATAAAAATCTGGCTATCAGATTACCCGAATTACGGGTACCCACAAAATCCGGGTTGGGAAATGGGCCGGAAAATCAAATACCTAACTTTACTTAAGAGATCTAATGCCTCATCCACTAGACTAACTAGTTATTGATCATGTCTTCTCCTTTGATTGCTTGTATACATATATGCATTGAATGGTTACGCTCCATACGCAAAATGCAAACTCAAATTTAGTACTAATTAAACCTTAATTTAGTACTTCCTTTGTCAGCTGGACATAATCGTAAAATTTTATGTTAGAAACGGTATTTTATAAAATTCTTTGAGTGCAGAAAAAAATCAATAAAAAATATCTAAAATATGTAATGATTTGAAATTTTTAGAGAGGTGACGGACTTCAACCAGTTCGTCCATCCTGACCGAAGGAGACGAGGTCCGAAGCAATTGCAAACTCAAATTTGGTAAACAATTTAGGTATTTTCTCTTCCACTTTCTCTTATTCATTCAACACAAATGATGTATACACCAAACAAGGTATGAAAGACAGAAAATTGCCCATTTGAAGGATGATTACATGTCAAGCAAACCATAAATCTTCAAACTTTATGTAATTATATAAAAAAAAAACTTGTGTATTATCAAACAATGGGCAATGACATGCTTATTGATGGTAGGAAAACTGTAGAAGAACCTTGTGTATTACCAAATCTCTCACCTTTGCAAACACCAAAACACACAGGAAAATATACATGTGTGTAAATCAAGTAGGTTTCATGTCCTGAAACAGTGTTTCCCAAAATGTATGTTCAACCAAGTCCTTGTTGTTGTGATCACCATGGACCTTGGGGCACGGGCTCCTATTTGCCACCATCAACCTCTCATGCGCCATTGCAACATCAACGGAACCAGATATGATCGGGCTCTTATAGCTGAACACCAACCTCTCCTGCAATTTCCTGTCCAGTGGCCCTGATAATTTCAAGCTCCTAGGAGTCACCAGCAACTTCTCCTGTCCTCTATAATCCAAGGGACCCGATTTCGCTATCGTCCTGGTTTTCTGCAGTGGATGATGCTCAATCTTCATCTCCTTGTTCCTCTTCGACAATGCTTCTCTCCACTTATCTTTATACGAAACCGGCTCCGGTGCCGGCAGCGGCAGCGCCTTTGCTGTCTCGTGGTGAACCAACTTGTTAACGTACCTGTTGAAGCACTTTCTACTTTTGACGATTGCTAATATGAGCTTTGACAAGCCATTAGGGGCCTCCCTAACTTCTTTCCTAGCGAGCTTGAGGATCACCAGCCTGTGTTTGGCAACGGAGATGCCCATGCTCTGAAGGAACTCATGGTTGAAGTATGGTAAATCCTCTCTTTGGAGCTCGTTGCCAGAAAAGGCAAGGGCGTACTTATAGACAAGTGAGATCTCGAGGCCAGTTTTGGATAACCAGGAGTACCAGTCCATGGCTTCCGGTGGTTGGATTATGCCATAGGATGGTTACAGAACTGGCGGGTGTTATAAGATGGTTGCATGCATGTGAGCGCTCCAATAAGTGTCCCGAGTAGTGCTTTAAAAGAATCAAGTAAATGTGGTGGGTGTGTAAGGTTTATCTTTTCTGTCATCTTTAATTGAAATGGAGAGGGACGCAGAACGAATTTCATTAATATGAGTTTAGGGAACTTACCCATATTTTTTTTATAAAAAAAATGGATACTTTGTATTGATTAGTATACAAGGTACACCACCCATGAACCTCATTAAAAAATCTCCCTAAACCTATTGGAGGAAAAAGAGTGAACCATGAGGTGGAAAAAAAAGAAGTCGTAATCGAGCTCATGAGAAACTGCAGTTGACAACAAAGAAATGTCTAACCCGCTGTCATGAAAACAACTACAAACAGAGACATAAACCAGCCGAGAAAAACACAAAATGAAGAGCTGCAATACAACTGACCACATAAACTCCTGCGGAAAGGCACCAGAGTAGAACTCAACAAATCCACTACCGTTGAAACCACCAAAACGCCTAAGAACCCAAGATCATAACACCAAGGACCATCCAAATAGCACTCCCTTCGCCCTCGCATCAAGAAGAACCGTATATAAACCTAGACTCACTTCATTACAATCTATAATCAAATCAAAATACACACTTAAGAAAAACGGACCAGACCCCCGCAACACATCTGACAAAAAGCACGCTCAGAGTGGTTCTCAAAGAACCGAAAAAAACTGTAACTAACATCAACGCATAACTAACGACGAAAGCTTCTAAAGAACCACATTTTCAGGACTACCAACCTCAAGTCCAAGTTGTCTACTTAAATACGCTGCCTCCTACGCTTCAATAAAAGTTCCATCCCACCTTTGTTTTAAAACAAAATCTGAAATAGATGTACCTGATAATTCGGATAATAAAAGATCTGATTTCTTCAAATTGAATTTCTTCAGCGCAAGATATCTTCTTCTCCTCTCAGCTTTGGATAGGACTTTTCCCTGAATATCCAGCATAGATCCAAATTTCTTCAACTTCAAATTTTTGATAAAGGACCGGACAGGCAGAGACGACGCCTCCTCAAAATCACACCCGACAGGAGGCTGAGATAAAGATCCTTCATCCCCTTTTCGAAAAGAACCTAACTCTACAATCGGACTATCGACACAACCATTGATCAACATCCTATCCAAAGGCGAAGAAGGGCCATCTAAAGCATTTTCCACGTGAGCATTAGCTAATTCCATTGCAAAACCCACCAACGAATTATTAAAATCCTCCACCAATTTCAAATTTCCACTCCTTTGACAAGATTCCTCATACGCCACATTGTTCACGCGCATTTCATAAGGCGACAAAGCCAACTCTAAATTAATCCCAACAACAGCAGAACTTAACTCCACTAAAGGGTCCTCGTGCGATAATAAAATTCCCTCCACCGCATTATAAATGCTGCTCCTCTGGCACAAAGCAACGTGCGCATTTGCCCCATAACGGGCTGCCTGGGAATCAGATTCCATAACGTGCGCAGTTGCTACTGAAAGCCACGGTCCATCCTCAGCACTCGAACCATCTTTGATCTCACGATTTTCTGTTTGAACACCTTCCATGTGAATGGAATCAAAATTAACACGGGACGACAATCCGGCACCTATCTCCAGCTCGAAAGACTTATCAGGCGAGCCAGCATCAAGCTCACCCACCCCGGAACCCGGATAAGCAACTTACCCATCTTTTGTTTGGTTGAATTGAGTTTAAACTATTTTTCGTGATAAAAAAATTATTGTTTGCTCTAATGATCCGAGTATAAATATCTACGTCTTTTCAATGTGTGTGGTTGGTTAGAAACAATAAGACTATCTCTTATATTTCTTGTCTAAAAAGAATATTTCCTCTTCGACTTATAAAAAAACGCAAATCGAATATAAATTAAATATCATCATTTACATAAAATACCTTACTATTTGAAGAAACATGCATTGCACAATTTGAATAAGAACAAATTAATTATCATTTTTTATAAATACTCACCTTATTTCAAGTTCATTTTTTGTTAGAATGTCATATCAAATCGCACAGCTTCGATCAAGGAGTACTTCTCATGTCTATTCTATAAATATATATTCTTGAAAAATATTCGAATAAAAATAAATTTATGATACTAACACATAAAACAATTTCAAGAAGAGCAAGATATATACATGAATACATAAGTATCAAATATATAACATAAATGAATATATACGTGTATATATGTATATGCTAGGTATATATACGAGTGTAAATGGCAAAAACACGTGTATGCAATATAGTAAATAAATACATTTATTGCATGTAAAATCATAATATATAATATAGCACACATTTATGTACAAACATGTATATATGAATTAAAGACAAAATGGAAACATGGAATCATTTAAAAAAACAGAATGCAAACAAGGGAAGCTAAGCGTACTTAAAAGGACTAAATAATAGTAACAGTAATTTAAAGGACTAAACTTCCAACTCGATACGTATGTACCGATGAAGACTCTCCCATCGTATCTCACACAAATCAGCCGCCACAAGTTCCGGTGATAGATATGCAAAAGTTATCTTCTGAAGAGGAGTTGGATTAGTTGCATCATGCATGCAAGGAATGGGGTTTCTTCCAGGTACTTGTTTTCTCCTACCTATATGTTGCTTTATACTTCCGCTTTTCAAAACTATCGACCGAGATTACTCGGTATTGTATGAGATTTTGGGGTTTTAATTTAAAAGATGGAGCCCTGGTGCAGTTAATCAACCATGGGGTGAGCTCTTCATTGGTGGAGAAGATGAAGATGGAGACCCAAAAGTTTTTCAATCTTCCAATGTAAGAGAAGCTGCTGCTTTGGCAAAAACCAGACGAGGTAGAGGGATTCGGGCAGGCCTTTGTTTTCTCCGAAGATCAGAAGCTTAAATGGGCAGATATGTTCTACATGATCACCCTTCCACCTTATTTGAGAAAACCTCACTTGTTCCCTATTCTCCCACCGGCCTTGAGGTTCTTCTTATCTCCATTTGTTAAACAATCCCGTATCCTTTATATTGATGGAGTAATCTATTTCCTTAAACAACTGATTGCAGAGAAACCTTGGAATCTTAATCTGCAGAACTCAGAAATCTTGCCATGACACTGTTGGACCTGATGGATGAACTATTATCCCCCATGTCCAGAACCAGAGCTCGCAATCGGTCTCAACTCTCATTCTGATATTTCCGGCCCCACCGTTCCACTCCAGATCAACGAGACTGAAGGTCTGCAGATAAGGAAAGATGGGGTTTGGGTTCCGATCAAACCACTTCCCAATGCTTTTGTGATCAATATAGGAGACATTATGGAGGTAATTATTATTGACATAGTTGCACCATTTTTCTGATCTAAATTGTCAGCAGATGAATAGTATTTGGTGTCTGAGTCTGCAGATAGTATCCACTATCCAACGGGTTTTACCGAAGCGTTGAGCACCGTGCGACGGTGAACTCGGTTAAAGAAAGGATATCGGTGGCTACATTCTGTAGCCCAAAATTGGAAGGAGAAATGGGACCAGCACCGAGCCTGATTTCTCCACAAACTCCACCACTGTTCAAGAGACTAGGCATTACTGATTACTTCAAAGGTTTTCTTTCGCGCAAGCTCCATCGAAAATCCTATTTTGGATACCTTAAGGCTGCCTTCGAACCAGTAGCTTTGAACGTTTAGATATTTTAAATATCAAGATCTCAAATAGTTAATAATAAGTGAAATTATAACAAAAAGAAAATGGAATTGTGTTGCAGTTAATCAACCATGGGGTGAGCCCTTCACTGGTGGAGAAGATGAAGACGTAGACCCAACAGTTTTTCAATCTTCCAATGGAAGAGAAGAAGAAGCTTTGGGAAAAACCAGACGACGTAGAGGGATTCGGGCAGGTCTTTATTTTCTCTGAAGATCAGAAGCTTGACTGGGGAGATATGTTCTTCATGGTCACCCTTCCAATTTATTTGAGAAAACCTCACTTGTTCCCTTATCTCCCAACCGCCTTCGGGTTCTTTTGATCTCCATCTGTATCCTTTATATTGATGGGATAAACTTATTGTTATTCTATTTTCTTAAATGATTGATTCCAGAGAAACCTTGGAAGCTTATTGTGTAGAACTGAAACATCTTGCCTAGAAACTGTTGGACCTGATGGCAAAAGCTTTAGGGATGGATCCTAATGACATGGAGGTTTTGTTTGAAGAAGGGCAGCAGGGGATGAGGATCAACTATTATCCCCCATGTCCAGAACCAGAGCTTGAAATTGGTCTAAACCCTATTCTGATTCCGGTGGCCTCACAATTCTACTCCAGATCAACGAGACGGAAGGTCTGCAGATAAGGAAATATGGGGTTTGGGTTCCGATCAAACCACTTCCAAATGCTTTTGTCATCAACATCGGGGAAACTATGGAGGTAACAATTATTGATTTAGTTCCACCATTTTTCTGCTCCATATGGTCAGCAGATGAATGGTATTCGGTGTTCTGAATTTGCAGATAGTATCCAACGGGATTTACGGAAGCGTTGAGCACCGTGCGACGGCGAACTCGGTTAAGGAAAGGATATCGGTGGCTACGTTCTACAGCCCAAAATTGGAAGGAGAAATGGGACCAGCACCAAGCCTGATTTCTCCACAAACTCCGCCGCTGTTCAAGAGAATAGGCGTTGCAGATTACTTGATAGGTTTTTTTATCCCGGGAGCTCCATGGAAAATCCTATTTGGATACCTTACGGCTACCTTCGAACCAGTAGTTGTAAAGGTTCAGATGTTTTAAAAAATATATTCTAAGATTAATAAATGAGAAAATAACCACACTAACAAAAAAAATACCTTATTATATACGAATTTAATCAATTTTTTTAGATTTGTCAAAATGACCAACAAATTCGCAACACGATTTCAAATTCGCAACGCGAATTCTAATTTTGCAACTCAGTTTTTAATTTCGCAACGCGAATATGTAAATCGTAACACAGAAGTCAAATTCGCAACGCGATAGTCAAATTCGCAACGCGATAGTCAAATTCGCTACGCGAAAGTCAAATGTTTTTACGCGAAACACAATATTAATTTCGCAACACAAATGTAAACAATATTATAGCAAATCATCTCTAACTTAAAACCCTAAAGCACAACTCAGTCTCATCTCCATCTCTCACTCTCTACGGC